AAAAAACTGATGCTTTTATGTTGTCTTTGCATACCTCGAGGGCTCAGCCCTAGTTTCATCCTCTGTCTGAGGCACCATCACCACAGGATGCTGAAACCTGAGAGGTGCAGCTGGGGTAACAATCACCCAAAACCCAGGGAGATGGTGCATGTCAGTGATGGCTGGCCCAGAGCACAGCAATGGGAAGCGTCTGTCTCCAGGTGCATGAGTAAGAGGAGTAGAACAGGTGATGGGAGTCAGTCATGAGAGATGACTGCTGTGGCTGAAGAGATTTAAAGTATGTAACCAGGCTCTCCAGAGCAGACCCATTTATGTGAAGTCATCTGTAGACAGCTTTCCTTTTTCCTTTCTCTCTGTCAGGATAATAGGACAGGCTTTTGTCCGTCTCCAGAAGCACTCTGCCTGGGCAATGCTGAAAGCTGGTAGAAATCTCTTTGAGGTCCCATTTGGTAACTCCCAGATTAACAGAAATCATTAACAGAGAGATTTTCCAACCCACATTTACATGTAGAAATGTCCGTGTGGGAATTACCAGGGACAGGGTTCCCTGTAAGGAGGCTGTGCAACCTTCAGGAGAATGAGGACAGGGACAAGACCTTGGGAGACTTCCTTGGCTTGGCTGTTTTTTCTGGTTGCCTCTAACCCAGCAAGCAGACACTGTGCCAGGCACTTCCACTTGGTTGGAAGGTGCTGCAAACATCTGGGACATAGGGAATGGGTTCATCTTGTAGTGAAAGAGTGAAGTCCCATTTATGGGACAAGAGCATTGCAGTGGGGAAGTAAGAGCCAGGGCCCTGCTAACTCATCCAGTCACGCTATCAGGCTGCAATCAGATGCCTCAGCTGCTCCTTTCCCAGCACAGGATGCTCATCCAGGCATTGGGTTCTCTTGCTGTGCACTCCTGGCATCAAGCAGAGCCATTAAGCACAAGGAAAGAGAGTGTTGCCCAGGCCAGGCTGTGGTGAGACAGTTGATCCATCATTTGCTGTAGTCCCTGTATGGAGCAGGCTGTGCTTTTGAGAGAGCAGAAGTGTGTTTCCCTGCTGGGTCAGGCAGGATGGGCTGCTCATGGTGAGTGCCTCCTCCCAGCCCTCAGGTCTGAGAGCTGTTGGGCAGCACTGGGGAGTGTCAGGGGCTGGCAGGGCCGAGGGCAGGGATGTCCCTTTGCTCCCTCTGCCAGCCTTAATGACTGAGTGGGGAGGAGAGGAAAGGCAGGATCTGCCAGGCTGAGCCAGGAGCTGGGCTGAATCCACACCACAGACCCTGGCTGGCTGCAGGCAGTATCATCCCTCCGTTTGTCTGCTTGCTGAATAATTGAGCAGATTTTCTATTAAGCCTCTTTCAGAGTGAGCTAATGCAGCGACGTTGGCCAGAGCTGGTGTCAGGATCCTGGTGAGAGCGAGTGGCAGGGGAAGGGCTGAGGCCCAGAGTTGAGGCTGTGGTTCCCTGTGTGTGAGGGCATGCTGTAATTAGGACTGGCTTTGTGGGAAGTGAGCAGCCATCCCAGAATGGAGATGAGCTGTGTTGTGTCAGGGCAGAGCCACTGCTCTGCTCCTTGGGCTTCCCCCATGCTCCTTCCACCTCCTCAGGGGCAGGGAGGTGATGCTGTCAGGGAGAGGAGAGGGTTGGGACACGTGCAAGGATGTACAAGTCTGTACAGGACAAGTCCTAAAGAGCCTTCAAGGTGTATCTCCCAGGGACTTCTGCATGAAGGATGGAGAAGACAGAAGGAAACGCACTGATCTCACTGGGAACAAGGTGGTACAAGCCATCAAAGCACAGGACAGGGGTCCTGGACCAGAAACAACCATGCTGAGCCAGTGGGACCTGCCAGAATCAGCACTGGGCTGGTGTGATGTTGGGGTATTTCTGCCTGGGTCTCCACACTCCTCTCCTTTGCAAACTACAGATGGGTGCAGAGAGATGGGCTGGGAGGAGACAAAGGGGTTCCTGGGGCAGAAGCAACACACTGGTGAGCAGAAAGGTAAGGAGGCACAAGACTGGCTGAGAGAGGAAGGCTAAAAAGACTGCTCAGTTGTTTAATGGTTTTGGGATCACCTCCGCTGGAAAGATCAGAAGTTCCCAGTCTCCAGATTTTTAAACAGGCTGGCCACCCACCTGTGTGCTCATGTGCTGCTGGGACCCTGGGGGCTTGGCTGGACCTGTGGACATGTCAGTTTTCTGCAGTTCCTGTAAGACTTAGCAGTTACTGATCCCTTAAACACTAATGCTCCCTCAACAGTGTTGGTGAACAAGCCCTGGTGGAAGGAGGGGCAGGAGTAGACATTTCATGGACCACACAGTCTAATGGAGTTCTTGGTACCTTGCTCTAAAAACTCACAAAATGGGTGGTACTGCAGTTTTGCAGTGTGTAATGTCAGGGTGAGCGTGAGCCAGAGCATGGAAGAATTATTATCTCTGGCCTGGGTTTCATGCTTAAAAAAGGAATGTGGTCAGTTTTTTTACAAGCTGCCAGCTTGTGTGCTGCATCCTGAGTGATGGGATTGCCAGGACTGGGCTCTCCCAGCCCCTTGGGGCTGTCAGGCACATGCTGGGAGGCAGGAGCAGGCCTTGTGCTGGCCAGCACCAGGCTTTGCTGATTTGAGCTCTCTGGAAAACTGAGCATGGTAAGGAAAGGATCTGGGCCCTGCTGTGTCTGTCCTTGGTGACAGAAGGACAGGATGGGATGGCATTCAGTGCACCCCTGTTGTCCTGGCTGAGGTGTGAAGTGCCAGAGGAGACAGGAGTTAGTGTTGGACACTGGTCCTCAAAGCTAGTCCTTATCCCCACACAGGCTGGCACAGGTCCCTGTGTGCCAGGGGCAGTGAGCTTTGTGCTGACCCATTACTTTGCCCTGCAGAGTCAAGGAGCAGGAGGGAGGTTTAGCAGGGAGCCAGGGGTGTAATGGTGGAGATGGCTGCCAAGAGAGGACAGTGTATTCCTTGGGGAATATCCATTAGGTTTCCCAGCTCCTGCCTGTCAGAGAGGCTTTGCTCCTGACTGTTTTTCCTTGCTGAGATGTTCTGCTTTTCAGGCTGCTTAATGAACTGCTTCGACAGTTCAAACTGCCTCCCGGTGCTCATTGGATCAGCAGTGTGGTGTGGGATCCTTTCTGAGCATCAGGACTTTCCTGGGTAAAGGCAGAGGGATCCCTTGAGGGCAGCTCAGATACAAATGTCAGAGCAAGTCCCTGGAGAACAAGCCTTACCTTTCCTGCAGGGATAGAAGAATTGCAGCCAGCCTAGAAGAACTCTCCTGGGCTTTTTCAGGCTGGTACGCCCCTGGAAAGGCCCCCCGGGGGGTTTTCTTACTCTCCCTGAGCTTTCCCTAAGCTTCAGTCATTATTCTCAGCTGAGGATGCAGATTTGCAGGAACACTAATGCCTAGGAAGCTGGTGTTGGCAGTGGGGAAGGGGAAGATTTCTGGGGAGACAGACAAGGATGGTGATAATGGGTGGGTAACACCCACTCCAGCAGCTGGGGCCCAGAGCAGCACTTCATCTTTCCTTCTGGAGGAAGATCTGGTGCTTAGATACGGCACATACTCTGGCACGGGCTTGGCACTGTCTCGGCAGGTACAGGCCACACTCGGGTCAGTGCCCTTGTCTGGTTGGGTGCACTCAGCTGCGTCTCTTCTCTTTCCCAGACATTTCCCAGGTGAAATTCAAGCCTTCCTTCCCACGGGATGCCTGCCTGGGTGCAAAGCCAGGGGTGCTGCCAGCACCTCAGCTCCACCCTCAAGGTGCCACTCACCTCTGTGTCTGACACCGAGGCACCTCGTCACCCCCCGTCAGTGCCCAGTGCAGCATCCTGGGCCCGTCAGGACACGGCGCTAACGCGAGGTGATGGGGCCGGCGGTGGCGGCTGGGGGGTGGCCGGGGCACCGGCCAGCGGGGGCTGTCGCTGTTCATCCGTCACCTCCGCCAGCCGCGGGGCACGGATCGCACCGAGCTGCACAAGGTCGCTGCCAGGAGCGGTGCCGGGCTGCCTGTGGAGAGCTGCTCTCCCAAACGCTCACCCCTCCTTGGATGGGGAGTATTGTCAATTTCTTTGGGCACAAAGCTGAGTTTTTTTCTGGGAAAAAAGCTGCTTGTTTCCTGGCCAGAGAAGTTGAAAGGATGTGTGTTAGTGTGGTCCCGATGCCCCAGGGTTCTTCCCCTCCCACCAGTCACAGGGCTGCCAGCAGCTCTTGGGACCAGGGTGCTCAGCCATGGGAGGGGGCTGCAGGTCTCTGAAGGGTCCTGGTCCCTGTGATACCTGAGCTGTGCCCCTGCCCACAGCCGGTAGCCCCAGCCTCCCCTGTGCTGCATTTGATGGCCACATGCTCCTGCTCCAGCTGTGGATGGCATACTGGTGACTGGAATATGGGTAGGATACCCTAATCCCTCTGTGGGATCAGACAGGCATTTTGGGGGAGCAGAACCACTCCCTATTTCAGGAAGAGGCAAGGGTGGTTGTCAGGGAAGGCAGCGCAGGTGAAATGAGTTGGGGGCTCCATCTGCAGGGAGCGCCAGAACTAAGCCAAAGGCAGTGCCAGTCCCATCCCTGGCAGTGCCTTTCCCCTGCATCTAAACCCTGCTTGTTCCTTCCTCTCGGGGTCTGGATGTGCCCTTGTGTCAGTCAGCACTGCTCCTTCCCCAGCTCCCAGGCATCATTTGGAGGACCGGCCCTCCCAAGGACAAACCACTGGATGCTTTTCTCTCACCAGCACCAAGCCACCAGCACATTTAACCCCCTTGCTGAGGCCACCTGAAGGCCATTTGCTGGGAACAGAGGCTGCCAGTCCAGTGCAGATTGCCTGGCCCCCTGTGCTGGGCCTGCAGGAATTCGGGACTCCCTCAGACCTCAGCCTCCCACCGCTGTGCCTGTGAGCTGTGGGGTGGCTGCACACTGCTGCAAGGGCAAGGAGACACTCAGCCCAGCATGAGCTTAAAAAAATAGGCATTTTTATTCCAATGGAACTAGAGAATTATGACCCAGGAGAGGGGAGGATTACTCACATTTATCGATAGGCTGATTAGGTTACTGCCTAAATAGCTGGGCTTGAGCAGCGCGTGTCCGCCTCAAGGAGAAGCAGCGAAGGAGCGCGTGGTGCATCGGAGACCTCCGTGTCCTTGGTGGCACCGAGCTCTGAGCAATGCGGGCTGGGGCGCTGTGTCTCGTCACCTAATCCTGACGATTTACAGCTTCTCAGGAAGCAAAAGCTTGTAAGATTTGCTTTGCTGCGTGGCTGGTCAGGCGCTGAGCTCCATCCCTCCTGCGTGGCCACGTTTGGGGAGGGCTGTGTACCCCCAGTTTGTGATGGGATCACAGTCCCCCGCTCCCAGCCATGACATGCTGATGGCGACCGGTGTGTGCTGGGAGAGGATGGTGGCACCGCCATTCCTGAGGACTCTGGCACGAGCCAGGACAGTGTCCCACTTGTCACAGCTATTCCTCGGCCTGGGGGTCTGTGGCAGTGGTGTCAGGTTTGGCATCTCATGCCTGGGGACATGGCAGACCCCTGGGCCTGCTGTCAAATTAGGGAGGGTGGGTGCCCAAATGAACGGGTGTTTCTCCAGCATGCTGGGTTCATCAGTGTTAGCCGTGTGCTAACGAGGCCGTTGCCAGTGGATTATGCAAGGCGCTCTTGCTGGGCACCAGCATGCCTGTGGCCCAAAACCCACCAGGAACCTACGGCTGAAGCAGTTGTGGTTGATGTCAATCACTCCTGTGGGTCGTGGTCAAGCCAGGAACTCGGGATGCCCAATAATCCTGTTCTAGCAGCAATGGAGGAGACCAGCTCTTGGGAAACCTCAGCTCTGTCCCACTAAGACACAATGGGGGTATCAGAAAAGACAGAGCTGATGGACTCCGAGTCTGACTTGAGCTGCAGGACCTTGGGGTGCTTGGGGTCGGGGAAATCCTCACCGATGGCCAGCCGAATCTTGCCATTCTGTGTCTCCCTGATGGGCTCGAGGAAGACGACGTGTTTGTTGGCGCTGGCCTTGCGGTTTGGCCCATCGGTGGCAGGAGGAGTGGTGCTGAGGATGGAGGACTGGGCGCTGCACTCCTGCGGGGGGCTCAGCGGGGCCGGCTTCTTGCAGCAGCCCAGGCAGCGGCACGGCGTGAGGTACAAGTAGATGATCACCAGCACAAGGCTCACAATGCAGCCCAGCAGGGTCGTGAGGCCAGTGCTGAAGGTTTCCCCAGCTGCCTTGGGGTAGAGGACGGTCATGTTGAACTCACACATCCTGCTGAAGTTGTAGGGGCTGTTCATGGCCAAGCCTACGTAGACCCCTGAGAGCCAGGGCTTGGCTACGGCAATCCTCAGGCTGCCATTGCGGTAAACCTCCAGGGAGCGATTGCTGTTCCCTGGGTGTTTGATGGGCTCGTGGTGAGGGGTGATCCACATGTAGGTGGTGGCCGTGTGCGGCAGGCTGGTGTTACTGGTGTTACAGGAGAGCAGGATGGGCTGGCCCACCGTCACCTCCAAGTGCGAGAGCTGCGCGTCTTCGGCGCTCGCCGAGCAGTTCTCAAATATGTGGCTGTGTTTGAGGAGCTTGATCAGGGACCGGGGCACGTTGTCAGACACCTTGCAGGTGTGTTCCTCGGAGAAATCTTTCACGGAGCTGAAACCTCGCTGATTCCAGCGCTGAAGCATCAGGTAGAGCGGGCAGCTGCACCTGATGGGGTTGTTGTGCAGGTACAAGCCATTACCGATGTTTTCAGGCAGAGCTGCAAGCACCTCCACAGGGATGCTGCTCAGGCTGTTGGAGGAGAGGTCCAGCGTGCGGAGGTTGTAGATTGCCAGCCCCTGCACCACATGGAAGGGGAAGGTGGTCAGGTTGTTCCAGCTCAGGTAGACTTTCCGCAGATCATTCAGCTTGGCAAAGGCATTTTCATCCACCCGCGTGATGCGGTTGTTGTAGAGCAGCAGCTCCTCCAGGCTCACCAGCGCCTCGAAGTAGTGCCTCTTCACGGCTTGCAGGTGGTTGGAGGACATGTCCAGGTGCCGCAGGAAGGAGGCATTGTGGAAAGCCTGTGGAGAAAGGTCCCGAATCTGGTTGTGGCTGATGTGAAGGGCCTCGAGGTGCGGGAGGGCGGCCAGCCAGTGGTCGTGGAGCTGTGTGAGGGCATTGTGGCTGAGGTCCAGCGTGGTGGTGGTGGGCGGCAGTGCCTGGGGCACCCGCTGCAGCATCTGCCGGCTGCAGCTCAGCAGGTCGGAGGTGCAGATGCAGGCGGCGGGGCAGCGGTGGGGCTGCGGGGAGGCTCGGGGGGCGCACAGCTGGAGCAGCAGCAGGAACAGCTTTGCCACCCGCGGCCAGACCGGCTCCGCGGTCACCGGCGAGGACATTGTGACGGGCAGGAGCCTCTGTACAGCCCGGCGGCACGGCCAGGCTCGATGAGACGCCAGAAAAAATCTGCCGCCGTCTCTCGTTTCTCCCCCAGTGCTGGCTTGGCTCTACCAAGCATCCACAGACGCCCTTTTGCACCCCGCGAAAGAGGATCCCGATTCCAGCCGTGGGGCTTGAAAAGACCCGAAGTGCGGCATCGCCTTGCCCGGCTCTGCCGCGGCTCACCCGAGGCTGCCTCGTACCTGTGCTCCGGCCGGCCGGGGGCTGCCGGGGGTCGGGTGGGCGATCAGCATCAGGGGGCTGAGGCGTTCGGGCGCTCCGGGGCTGTGTGTCGGGCTGGGCGGGCGCCTCGCTGCCTCCTGGAGCTGCTCATCCCTGGAGTGCGAAGTTTCTCAGGGTTCAGCGCCGCCGGGGCACATCCGCACGCTGCGACCTCCGGGGAGCCTCGTCCGTCTCCCTCCCGGGCAGCATCTCCGGGAGCCGGGCGCGCTCCTGCCCCTATTTACGGGCGGGCGGTGCGCGGCGAGGGGGCCGGCCGGGATCCCATTGGCCCCGGCGCGGGGAGTGGTGGCCGCAGCGGTGGCCCTGGCCCGGTCCCTGTCCTCGTCCCTGGCCGTGGCCCTCCCTGCGAGTGGGCAGAGCGATGCGCAGCCAGCACCGACCCTGCGTGGTCGCTCGTCCCCAGGGGAGCTCAGACTACTTCGGCCGTACCCGTGTGCGGCCGCCGGAGAGCCGCGACCGGCTGTAATCCATAAAGCGGCTGCTCCGCCACTGCCCAGCCTCTGGCAGAATGCTGCCACAAACCCGTCACTCTGGGAGCCCCTCGTGTCACATCCTCCACCCAGGCTGGGAGTGGGGATGGCGGTCATCCTCCCAGGATGCTGCTGCTTCTCTCGCAGCCGCAGTCCTTCCTGCTGCCCTAATCCTCAGCACCCCGCGAGCTGGGGATCCCCCAGCACCCCTGGCCCTGGGCTGAGCAGGAGGGCTGAGCCCAGTGGGGCCCCCATGGCAGAGGGGGTGCCGCGGGCTGCTGGCGGGGAAGGAGTGGCCATAGGGTGAAGGACATTCAGGAATGTCATTATCCAGAGCTCAGGCGGTTTAGTGGGAAGAGGAGAGCTGGGGAATTGGTTTCCATTAGGGCAGCAAAAAGCTAATTTGGCGGCTGCGGCTGCTGCAAGTCAAGGGGCTGTTAACCCCCTGCGCCCCGGCTCAGCCTGTGCTGACTGGCTGCTGCCTTGCCCCTCTTGCCGCTGGGGTGGCTCTGCTTGCCCCTAGGCTGGCCACAGAACCAGCTCTGCTCCTTGCCAGGGGCTGTTACCAGGCCACAGCACTGATGCCCGAGGGAGACATTAAGGCGACCTTCAGCTGTCCTAGCTGTGCCCACCAAAGCCAGGGAGGGCCATGACTTCTCCCTCCTGCTTTTTTGGGAGACCCACTTGCCCTGAACATACCCTGAGCTGTCCTGTTGGTGCAGGAGGGCCCCAGCCCCTGGCGTGAGGCTCCGCAGAGCATCTCCCCTGAGGTGCTGTGACCAAGGGCAGTGCTGGATGTTTCAGTCGCCCTGCAGCAACCCAGGCTGAGGCACTGGCCCAAGGGCTGCAGCCTCAGCAAGTGCTGAAACATCGCATCAATCCCCAGAGCCTCTGAGTCGGGGTGGCAGAGGAGGAGGAGGATGGATGGCTGCTGCTCTTTGGCCACATTTGAGCATGTTCCCCTGGACTGGGGTGACACCAGCTGGGGATGCTGGTGTGGGAGCACAGGGTGTATTGTCTGAGGTCTGTGTCCCTCGGCAGGACCGAGCGTGCGACTGCGGTGCTGCTGGCAGATCCCTGCTTCCAGCTGCGCTCCATCCAGTACCTGCTGGGCCACGCCGAGCCCTCGGCCTTGGCAGCGGCTGCCCCGGCCACGGACAAGCGCCACTTCTCCCTGCACACCTGTAAGTGTTGGCACTGCACTGGGAGCTGGGCTGTGCTCACCACCCACCCACAGCTGGGGAGGGAGGAATGGGGCTGCTGGTGTCTGTGTACCCTGCAATGTCCCAGCCCTTTCAGTCCTGGGGACAGGTGTCTATGCCCTCCTCCACCACCCCAGCAGCAGCACTTCAGGGTGGGGATGTATCCAGTGCCAGCCCATTCTGCCCTTCTCAGTGCCCAGTGCTCCCTGTCCTGGCTGGTGCAGCTGCAGCCCCTTTGCATCACTCAGTAGCCTCAGGACAGCCTGAGGGTCCCATCCACCCCACACACGCCCAGTTTGCCCCCCCAGACACAGAGTACATCAGTACTGAGGAGCTGTCAAAGGTGGAAAAGATGCTGAACCATCTGAGTGAGGAGTCCAAGCAGGCAGCTGCTACCACACTGGTGAGTCCTCTCCCTGCCCTGGCCCTGTCCCAGTCCTTGACAGCAGATCTGGGACATGGGACTTTGGATGCCACCCCTAACTGCCTGGTGACCCCCACAGCCCACCAGCGAGGAAGACCTGTGCCCCATCTGCTATGCACACCCCATCTCGGCCATCTTCAGGCCCTGCTCCCACAAGTCATGCAAGTGAGTAGCTCCCACGTTTGACCTCCACCAGGATGACTGCCAGCCCCTGGCCCTGCTCTGTGCCATCTGGGTGGGGGCTGATGCTCTTTCCTCCTCTGTCCCAGAGCCTGCATCAACCAGCACCTGATGAACAACAAGGACTGCTTCTTCTGTAAGGCCACCATCACAGGGGTGGACGACTTCACCAAGCCAGCCAGCTCATAGAGCCCGGCCCCACACCCTGGGCTCCCCCAGCTGAGCGGGGCAGCCCCCCCACCTCACGCTGGCTTCTCCCCAAACGCTTGCCCTGCTCAGGGCTGTGGGACCCTCACCCAAAGGGGCAGGACCCAGCATGGGGCAGCAGCGTGGGGCGGGAGGGCTGCAGGGTGGGAGAGGCCAGTGCCCAGCAGCCTCTCTGCCCTGTGGGCCGTTCTCAGGGAGGGGAGCCCTAGGCCTCGGCTCTGCTGCAGCGCTGGGATCACACGGCAGCCCCGAGGCCAGGGCAGGGGGGCCGAGCTGGGCGTTCGGGCTGTTAACTTGCCCCTGGCTGGGGGCTGACTTCATGAAAAGCAGCATTAAATTATTCTTCCTTATGTGGTGCCCTGAAAGATGGGAAGGGGAAGCCCCCCAGTGTTGGGGCTGCACTCAGGTGATGCTTAACAGTAAATGGAAATATAAATATTTAATCCAAGGAGAGCTGGGAGCACAGGGTCTGCTGGGGGCTGCTACATGATGATGCGTGGCTCTGGCACGGACTCGGAGATGGATTTGTGTGGCAGCACATTGGCCCCGTTGAGGTAGAGCTCGTCGTTGACGATGACATCCTCGCCCAGCACAGTCACGTTCTCCATGCGCACCTGCCCCAGAGAGGCCCCGTCACACCCCTGGGCTTGGGGCCCAGTGCCAGGCTCCTGCTCCTGCCTGCAGGGACCACATCCCTGCAGCTGCAGCCCAAGGAGGTGGCAGGGCAAGAGCTGAGTGTCAGTCCCCTGTGGGGGCACCCATGTCCTCACCCACTGCCCCACAGAGCAGCTCCAGCCCACAATGCAGGACTCCAGCCAGGAATGGGAGCGGATGCGGGCCCCTTCCAGCACAGTGCAGCGTTTGATGCGCACCCCGTCCTCCACCACCACGCCAGCCCCGATTGTCACGTTGGGGCCGATGACACAGTTTGCCCCAATCTTGGCACTGGGGTCCTAGAAGGAAGAGGGGCCATGCCAGGGTCAGGAGGGCAGACAACTCTTGGCCCATACCACTTGGCCAGCCAGGGAAAAGGAGGGCAGAGCTTGAGGATGGCAGTGAGGACAGCGGTGGGACAATGCAGACAGCTCATGACGTGCCCGGGGCTGCTGTGCTGGGGGCTGGCACTTACCACCAGCACATTCCCTACGACACCGGGCCCCGAGTGCAGCTTCTCGGGGTGCTGAGCCCGCAGCGCCTGCAGGTACATGCACATGCCCGTGAGGAAGTCCTTTGGCTGCCCAATGTCCATCCAGAAGCCTGTGGGGACAGAGCCACGGTGACAGCCCCCAGCCTGAGGGTGGCAGTGCAGGCAAGACCCCCCGATGCTGCCTGTGCTGTGCACAGGGCCTTACCCTGTAGCTCCATGGCGTAGAGCTGCCCATCCTGTGCCATGGCTGGGAAGATTTCCTTCTCGATGGAGGTGGGGCGTAGCTGCGAGGACAGGGCAAAGGGCTGAGCAGGGGGCACAGTCCCTCAGCCTGGCCCAGCCTGGCACCCCGGCTCGTACCTGGATGCGTTGCAAGATGCCAGGGTTAAATATGTAGAGCCCAGCGTTGATCTTGTTGGACACAAAGACGCGCGGCTTCTCCACGAAGCGGCAGATGCGGCCGGTGTCGGCCTCGCACACCACCACGCCGTACTTGGCCGGCTCCTCCACGCGGGTCACCACCAGCGAGCCCTCGCCGCCGTGCTGCCGGTGGAAACGGGCCAGCGCCGCGAAGGGGAACTCGCAGATCACGTCGCTGTTGAGGACAAAGAAGGGCTCCCCGTCCTCGGCCAGCAGGTCCCGCGCCAGCGCCAGTGGCCCCGCTGCGCGGCCGTGAGTGAGGCCGCAGGGACGTGGTGAGCCCAGCGCCCGGGTCCTGCTGGCCCCACCTCTGCCCGTGCCAGCATCCCTCCCAAGTCCCCAGTACCTCTGGATCCTCACACGGCCCGCTGTCCCTGGTCCTGCCCATGGTTATCCTGGCATTCCCCTCCCGATTCCCCTGCTCCTCCCGGCCCTACGCATCCATAGCCATGCTGCTGCCCATGGTGTCCCACCCACGATGTCCCCCAGCCCTACCCACCCTAATGCCCACGGCGCCCCCCTCCCAGCGTCCCGAGCCGTGCCGTATTCGTCCCGGTGTCCCCCCCCCAGCACCCACCCTGCTGTCCCTAGACTTCCTCCATCCCGCCTGTGCCCGCCCTCCAGCCCCAAGCCCCTGCCCGAATCCTACCTGTGCCCAGCGGCTCCTTTTCGTGGGACATGGAGATGCGGATGCCGAGCTGCGGGCACAGGGTGAGCAGCGGGACAGGCCGGGTTACGGGGGGAGGCGGGGGGAGGCGGAAGGGCCCTTACCCGTTGTTCCTGCTCCCGCATGGCGGCTTCCAGCGCGTCCGACATGTAGCTCACCGCCAGCACCACATGGCTGACGCCCGCCTGCGGGAGCGCGGGTCAGCCGGCGGCGGGGCGGCCCCCGCGCCCCCCGCGCCCCGCGCCCCCACCTGCCGGAGAGCCTCCAGCTGGTGAAGCAGCACCGCCTTGTTGCAGAATTCCACCAGCGGCTTCGGCCGGCTCAGGGTCAGCGGCCGCAGCCGCGTCCCGAAGCCGCCAACCAGGATCAGCGCCCGCATCCCGCGCGTCCCGCGTCCCACGGCAGCGCCCGCACCGACACGTCAGCACCGGGCGCACCGGGCG